CTCAGTGAAGATGATGTGAAAAAAATCAAGAATATCGTCAGTTCTGAAGGAATGATGACCAAATTTTGAAGCCTTTACTAGCATATTTGAATAGAACTCATATATGAAGAAATATGGAAAACCTGATGCAAAGATATGGAGGCATAGGAAAAAAGGAAAAAATCTCAAAAAAAAAAAAATACTTATGGAAAAAAAGAGAAAAGAACGATCTAAAAAAAGTACCTGCTAGGAAAAAAACAAATAACAGAGTAGATGAGAATATAGAAATCTGTAATTTTAGTCTTAAAATAGCGTTAAATAGTATAGCTAGAGAAGTAAAGGAAGGAATAATAGATAGTTGGAATTAAAACTAGTCATGATGGGCTATGGTGTTCTTCCTATCTTGACTTACAATTTATATTATAAATTGTTTCAATATAGGACAAAGGTCACTATAGCAGATCACACATAGGTATCCATAGGATAACCGAGTGAGTCATAGCTTAAAAAATTAGTCATTAGATAGTACATCACTAAATAATGTTGTTTTTAAATGAAAAACAAATCTAAATAAAGTTATGGCATGACTGCCGAATTAAAAAAAAAAAAAATAAAAGATAATAATATAAAAATTATTGTTTTAGTAACTAATTCAGTTTCTAAAAATATAGCTATAAGGTAATATTATTAAATTATATACTATTATTATTATAATTTAATTAAATTTTATATATTTTATTTTAGAAAATAATTACAAAAAAAAATAAAAAATAAAGTTTTTTTACTATGTTTTGTATATTAATTAAATTTCTGCATAGGAGATATTTTTAAAAGCTTTAAACAATTTACTAATATATCAAGTAAAGCAATTAGTATCATTATATTTTTTAATATTTTTTAGCTAAATTATAAATAAAACAAAGAGAACTATTTAGAAAATATATTATATTAATGATGCTAAATAATACATGATAGAATAGTTATTACTATTGCTTTAAAAGTATTCTTAAATCTAAAATTGCATTAAAAATAAAAATTATTATTTAATAATTAATTTATTTATAATAACAATATTAATTTTTAATTATAAATTTATTTAATTTTATAGATATTAATTCTTAAAAATAGTTTATCTTATGATATAAAAGCAAAGAAATTTCATTAGAAATTTGTAAAATTACAAATAAAATGAAGCTAATAGAATCTATTTTATTAAAAAATACTCTATTATTATTTATTCAATTAGTGAATATTCATTCTTAAATAATTCTTTGATTAAGAATATTCTTTGTATTCACCTACTAATTAATTTAAATAAATCTTTATTAATAAGAAATGTTTTATACTTATCTGTCTAATTAATATAGGCTAGGTACTGCAAAAAGAAACCAAATTGACAATTTTTTTAAACTTTTTTTTTAAGCCTAACTAATCTAAAATTAGCTCAGGAATATTTTTTACTTAAGAAACAAATACTGTTATTTTAATAAAATTTTGCTATATAACTCTTTAAAGTTTGTATTTTTTTATGATTTTTATAAGATTTATAACATAAAAATTGATTTTTTGAAGATCTTTTTTTTGTTAATTTCATCTCTTTTTGTAGCACCTAGCTCATATAATAAAAAATGATAGAATAATAAATATTGATGACAATAGATTCAACTTTTAAAAAATTCTTTGTACTTGCCTATCCAATTAACATAAATAAAGCAAATAAAGAATATAGTATAATTTTAGATTTTGCGAACTAAATAAAATTCTCAATTAAAGAATATTCTTTATACTTCTGCTTAATTAATTTGTATTAATAAATTTAGTTAAAGTATTCTCAAGGTATCAAACTCAATAAAAAATTCTAATTAGTCATCAGAAAATGAACAAACTGTAAAATCAGCATTATATTATGAGAGGTGCTTAAAAATGTTCTGAATAAAAAGTATATAATATTTAAATATTTATGAGCTTGAATAACTTATTTAAATTCTTAAACTAAGGAATATTTATTACTTACCTATTAAATATAGTAAATCTGAACAAAATATATAGGAATAGTAAATATTCATAGACTTTGATCAAGGACATTCTCAAGCAGCTCCTACAAAATGACCAAGATATTATCTAATTATTTAAATTAATTGAAGTGGTTAAATTAATTGAAGTGGTTAAATTAATTGAAGTGGTTAAATTAATTGAAGTAGTTAAATTAATTGAAGTGATAAATTTAAATATTTCTAGTAACAATATATGATAATTACTATGCGAAATATTGATTATATAAAAAATGATGTTTTGTACCTCAAACATATAATAGAACTTTTTTTCATACTTTTCTAAAATTAGTGATTACTTTTATACAACATTCCCATAAAACTATCAAGCAACTTCAATGCATATAGCTTAAATTTGTCAGCTCTGTTTAAATCATTATACATACAAGATCTATATCATCTAATATTGTCATTATTCTCGTATGAATATTAAATAAGTATAAACAAAAATATAAAGTGATTTAATATGAATATTCAAATTTAAATTTTTTGATAAAAAATATTTTTCATACTCATTTATCAGATTCATGAACTTTAGGCAATATTATGAAGTAAAGTATTTTTTGCAAGTTCATTTGGATAAAGTAAAATTTTATCTGCATATTTTTATTAGACAGTGTTACACACAGATATGGTAAGTCAGTCGCTCAATCTTCAAGTTCCTCATATAACAGATCACAATAACTTATCAAAAGTAGGTATAGTGATTAGGCAAAGGTAATTCCAAGGCTTCAGTTATTGTTCAGACTCTAGTTACGTGGTTGGTCTTAACATTATTGATTCTCTTAACTTCCCTTAATCTATTCAAGTTGACCTATCCTCTCTCTTAGGATAGTCAAACACAAGATTCAGCAGGCAAGTTCTCTTTACTCAATAACTTAACAATACTTTACTCTTATCCGAAGAGTAAATCAAGCAGCATAACATTATATGGGTACAAGTGTATACGATTAGCGAAAGGTCAGGTTGGAATGTTAAGTGAATTTATGGATCAAGGAATGTTTGGACTTTATGTTATATGCAGAAAAGTTTATCAGCAGTGCGATATTTTTTTATTGAAGGCAGAAGGTTCTGCTTATATAGACTTTACAACAATAGGATTTCATATAAGTCTTATATGTCTTTTAGTTTCTATAACTCTTAAAAGAGATATAAGACTTATTACTCCTTTAATACTTTTAATACTTTTAAGACTTATAATACTTTTAAGACTTATAATACTTTTAAAACTTTAAAACTTATTACTCCTATTGATTTTATATATCTTATAGGAGCTATAAGATTGATCATTCCTATAAGCATAAGATCTCTAAAAAAATTAAAGATTGATTTAGCTATAAAATTGGACTGCAGCTTGTTCAAATGATCTCAGGTGAGGTCTGACCTAGTTACATTTCTCAGTTCACATTCTCTCACACTTAAATGTGAGTTCTATAAACATCAAATCTCAATATCAATAGGCTATCAATTGTCTTTTATCTGGTTAGGTTCATTTACATCTTCAAGAATTTTGGTATTTATGGTATCTTTTCTTTAAGTGTAGTATTTATTACTTACTAACACCAGGCTCTTATACATAGTTTATAAGTTCCTTAAGACTATTTATCAACTAATTCTCTTGAACTAGAGTCTTCAATAATCAGATAACTTCAATTATAGGTCTTTTATAAGGTAGATATTTTAGGTCTTAGTCTTTATCATGATTTGGATATTCATAATAAATCTTTTAAAATTTTCTTTAGATAGAGCTCTAGCTCATTCTACTTTATCATAACTATCTGTTTCTGTATTAAGCTTACAATTTTATCAAATTTTAGATTTCTTTTATATTGAATATTAAATTTCAGATAAAGTAAGATCACATTTGTTTTAATTTCTTATAGTTAAAACTACGTAATGCTATTTACCACATAGTTTGGGCTGTCCCAAATGTTTGGACGGCAACTATAATTCAGACTTCCTGTGAAATTCTAAAGAATGCTAGTTTACTTTTTCATTTTATTAAAATTTTATTAATCGTTATGAAATAATTTATTTTCATAAGACTAAAGAACTTAAAAACAAAAAATATGATTCAAAGCACTTATACTTTACAAAGACACACTGGTGAATGTCTTCAAATTAAAATCTTTTTCATACTCAAATTTGCCAATCTTTTCAATTCTGACATACTATTTCATTCAAATTTTTCTATATTTTTCTTTTTTCTAGATTAATTTTATTATATTCATGCCTATATTTCCTTTTTTGTGTTTTCATTCCCCTCGCTCTTTATTTTTCACATTATCAAAAACAATATTTACTCGTCGAGTTACTAAGAATAATTCCATATTTATATTATAAATAAAATATTATTATTACTGTGCATTAATAATTAAAGAGAAAAAAATGAAAAAGCTTAATTATATACAAAGATAAAAATTAGAATTTAAAATATGCATGCATGAATATCTAATACATTATGAAACGTTTTATAAATTTTGGCGAATATTGTATTAGTTCTACTGGTATGCCATCTTTATATCTTTTTTCGATTTCTTTTTTATTACCGTAGGGACTTTGAGATTTATGTATTGTATAAACATAAGAAAATTATTATACGTGTAATAACAATTAAATTAATTTACAAAATCAGGTCATACTTATGTTCTTACTTTTTGTAGAAAACACGCTTGACATTGGATTCAATAATTTTTTCTAAGCAATCTTTAAATATTTGCAAATTAAAACCTAATCTGAGACAAAAGAAGATGAACAAAAGTAGCGGCACTTACCAGGACATGGATACCTAAAGGATACTAAATTATTAATTTGTATAAAGATATGTACGAAAATCGAATAATATGAATCGAAGTAAATCTTATTATTTGATCTCTTGCGGTTAGGCAAATTAATAAAAGATATTATCAATCAATCTTATACACAAAAGTTCCAAATATTTACTTTGATTATTTTTATATTAACATACACTCACGTATTACAATAAAGAATGCAATCTTTCGCTTCTGTTCCGACTTTTGACAATGCAATATCTTCTGCATGTATGCACAAACAATTTTCCAATCCCTCTCCACTTACATGTGGATTATTACAATATACACAATTACCTTCATTGCAATTCTTTGTACCCTTTGGTGTACCATTATATCCTGTTGAGATTACTATATCGTTTTTGGTCAATACACAACCAACCTTACGACTCATACAATTGGATTTTATTGCAACCATTTCTGATAACATCATGAAATACATTTCTTTTTGAGGTCGTAATATCTCTGGGATATTAGTATTGAAAAGTTTAAGTTGCTTGTAAAAGTTATCTTTCGTTGGAGAATACATGATAGGGATATCAGCCATGGTCATTGTTTCATAAATTTTATTCCAAGACTTATCATTTTCGGTCATGAATGTTAATAAATGATTTAAATCTTTAGATTCTTTGCATGTTGCACTAAAAATTATTAAAATTTTTAAATAGATTACCAACCGATAGAGGAATTTTTAAATTAATACTCACGAGCACCACCTATTGTATCGGCTTTCCAATGGGCCATCCACGGCCAGCAATAAGAAATTAGGGAATTTCCTGATAAGAAATTTTATTAAATTGATAATATCCTTTATAATTCATCAAATTTAAAGAGGTTAAATATATATATAAACCTGTATTTGTTTATTATTTCTAGACTATCAATATTGCATGTTACAAAATTACCCCTCCATTTCTCTATGACATGTTTTAAAAGGTTCTCTGGTTCGTTATAATATTCGTTAAGACGTAATTCTTTATATCCAAGATTTGAAGTAAACCATTCGACAATAGTCTCTTGTCCAGAATAGAAGGTTCCTGTTATTCCAATAAACATGATTAGACTTGGGAAAAAAATTCCAAAAAAAAGTAAAGTTTACACTCTAATTAAAAAAAAAGTGATACACAAAATAATGTTGGTGACACTTCTATTCTTTTAGATTTTACAAATATTTGTCGCAACCATATTTTGTATTTGTTGCACAACGAAGAATTCATGATCCATATCGATATAACATTTATGTAGATATGGGACCTTAAAAATTATTCTAAAGGTTTAATACCTTAAAAAGATAATAAGTTTATACATAGGTGGCGCCAAGGAAAGCCAGACTCCGAGCTTTTAAATTTATAATTTACATATAGTAATTGAATCCAAGAAGTTATAATTTAAAAGGTCAAAGCCTGTTTTTTCTTTGCGTCACCTAAACCCTGCAAGAAAAATGATTCGGAGTGTGGCACGGAAGTTGTCGTAAAGCACGGGATGACACGTTTCTGGTAGCACGTTTCTGGTAGCACGTACATGTACGTTTTACGGAAAGGTACGATTAAAAATGGCACGTATATATACGTCACACAGATGGTACGTATTTGTGTGTGCCACGCATAAGCACGTCAGAGCTGAACGAATTAACCCGTTGTCAATAGGAGCGTAGGATCTTGTATAACACGAAAATTTCAAAACAATCGCTTTTTTTAAAAAAATCGTTCATATCTCAAAATTTAACCTATGAAATTTTATGGTGTCTTAACAAAATAAATTCCTTGCAAAATTTTACTATCAGCTATAGGCGTCCTCATTCATCGCCTTCTATTAGACATGATCTTACTATAATTGCTATCGAATTTACTGCCATATAAAAAATTTTTACTTTTAAAACTATTCCGTGCCAATTGGCACTTTGACACGGGTATACGGTGTAAAGTCTTATTTGACTCTCCGGAAAATACTGCGCTTCGACGTAGTACGATGTCCTATTTTTAGTTGTAGATTCTTGTTTAGTTCTTTTATTAGCACAAACATGTATAATTAGAAAACTTACCGTAGATTAGTGTCAATATCTCCATATTTAGTTAGTATGATGTTACAGAAATTCGAAATATTGAATATATCCAATATACGTATCGAATATATTCAATATATTGAATATATACGATATTTTGAACATTTGTAAAGTATATAAGCGATGGCTTTTTCCTCTTCAATAAATCATCTCAAGTTTGAGACAATTCGAAAACCCCCAAATTAACTCCCAAATACCACATTCGCTATCCCCAATCCCCCCGATAATCAAATCCCGATCAATTTAAACAATAACAAATCGGCCCTTAGTTAGTCTTATAGATTCCCATTGTTAGAATCAATAACAAATCGGAACGAAATCCAGATCACGTGCCACCTGATAAAGTAAAAGTATAAGAACCAAAAGATTAAACCCCGAAACAAGAGGAATAAAAGCCCAAGAACCCAAGGACACCTACCTAAAGAAATCCACCCTGCAATCCTAAAACCCGGACCAAATCCTCCACGACCTCTTTCAGCCTACCAATTTAGGGTTGATTGTTGGATTTGTAGTGTTTGTTTGTTTGTAGAAAACGAACCTAGGTGTAACCAGAACCTCCGGTCGAGTTCCGTACCAGAACCGGTTCACACCTTCTCAACGGTCCAAATTGAGGGGTCGTCTACCCATGTGACTTTCTTGTGTCGAGCGACCAATCAAATTTGTAAAATTTTGTTTACACAAATCAGCTCGACAAAAAAACATTAAAAATATCAAAAACAGTAGTCTAAACCTGTCTTGGGGTATTAATAAAAAATGTCGGGAAGGCAATTTTATTATATATAAGCTCTACCTCTAACCCTAACTCTAATATTAAACTCACCCTAACCATAATTTTAATTAAATGTCAAAAGTCACGTGGGTACATGGCTTTTAGCCATCCCCTAAATAAATCAAAGCGGTATCAAATAAAAATCAGTGATTTTTATATCTAATTACTGAATTATCACATTAAGATCTACTTGCGTCAAATCCGCTCATATGAATTCTACACGATTGATACTAATCGACCCAAAAGCACGATTTCTAAATCGCATAGAGTCTCTAAATTTCGAGTCGGGTCGGGTCGGGTTCATATTCGACCCGAAATTTTTCGGGTGAAAATTTTCTAACCCGAACCCGACCTGATAAGGAGCACTAGCCTGGTGGCCAAATTTTAATAGATGTTTATGATCGGTTTTAACAGGTTATCGGTTTTGACAGTATCGGTTTAGGGAGTTTCAACAGTAATCTAATACATATTCAATAAAAATTTCGGGTTTAGATATCCAAAATGAGACATAATTGTTTCACACAATTTAGTAATTGTATCATAATTATGTAATTGTGTTTCATTTCTGAAATCATGAGTACGCTTTAAAAAAAAGGAAAATATCAAGGTATATTAACTATTTGTTAAGATATTACCGTGAAAATAATTTCAAATTTTAACTTTTCATACCTTTAGACTATGATATTTTTGAACAAGTTAATGAAGAACCTATTTATAATATTGATGAACATTAGTGAAAGTTTAAACAATTATGTTAAAGAACCTACTTATAAGATTGATGAACATTAGTGAAAGTTTAAACAATTATGTTAAAGAATCACCGATGAGTGACAATCCAGAAATAAATAAATTTATTCAAGAAGATGGTAGATTAAAATGGATACCTTATGAGAAGTTAACTAATATTGAATATCTTGCTCATGGAGGATTTGGAGTTGTATCAAAAGCAAAGTGGGGTTTTTTAGATGTTGCTTTAAAAAGCTTAAATAACTCCAAAGGACTGACAGCTGAAATTTTAAAAGAGATCACCTATTATCAACGGTTTGATCATAAAATGTTTGTTATTTACGTTACTCAACTTTATGGAATTTCTCAAGATCCTGTAACAAGAAATTATTTGATGGTAATGCCATATTTTGAAGGTGGTAGCTTGAGACAATATTTAAATAACAACTATAATAAGTTATCCTTTAATGACAAACTTGGCTTGTTATATTCAATGACAAATGGATTATATTCCATTCATGATCAAGGATTGATCCATAAAGATTTTCATCCGGGTAATATATTAAATACATATAGTGGTTGGTTGAAAAGCACAGGTTGCTATATTACCGATTTTGGATTATGTAAACCAATTGATGAAGAAAATGACAGTAAAACAATTTATGGAGTATTACCTTATATTGCACCTGAAGTATTAAAGGGAGAACCATATACACAAGCTTCTGATATTTATTCTTTTGGAATCATTGCTTATGAATTATTTTCTGGATTACAAACTTACTCTGATGTTCCTCATGATATTTCTTTGACTATATCTATATGTAATGGACTTCGTCCTAATTTAGATATTATTAGTGCACCCCAACTATTAAAAGACTTAATTATTAAGTGTTGGGATGATAATCCTTTACGACGCCCAAACACTCAAAACTTAATGGATAATATTCATAATTGGTATTATCTCAAACTAGATCAAGAATTTAATCAGCAAGTAAAGGCTATTGAAGATTCACTAATAAAATTAGAGACATCTAATAATCTAATCTACAAAACACATCCACAGGCAATTTACACCAGTAGACTGCTTGATTTGAAAGAAATTAATTCCTACATTTCCGAAAATTTGAGATTTCATATTGATGAGTAGGTTATAATAGTGTTGGAGGCAAAACCAGTCAACTCTAATTATCCAAAACACAGCAACAACGATACCCGAAACGATTAAAGAGGCGGTTTCGATTTGGCAAGGTAAGGCTTGTTTCAGGTACATTGTGCGGGACAGCACTGGACTTGGTTTTTAAACTTAAGGTAACAACGATCCTTTCTTTTATTTAATACGATCACTGCCTTTTATTAAAGGTCAAATACAAGACTTTTTATACAAGAGAAATACAGTTGGGGCTTTTACTCAATATGACTAAATTGAGCATTCGGGGGGGGTATCTGCAAGTTACAATGAATAAACTCCCACCATTTGAATCCCAGAGGCATCATGCGATTTTCAACAGAGCTTTGCCTTGAGCCAAACCCAAGATAGCATTTGATTAATGCTTCTGTCATATGCTGATTGGAGGTCTTGGGCTTGAGGCTTAGCTTGGTCCGGATCAGGGACTCAGAAAAATTCATATATATATATATATGAATAAAATGGATTTTTTAATACAAAAAGGTATAAATTGGAATTTTTAGAGTTGAGCGTAATTACATGACTTTTATTAATTTTGATTGGTTAAAAATCATATGATATTGATTACTGTTAATTATAATTCATTTAAAAAAATAAATGATTTCATAATTATGTATCATTATCTTATCAGGCTAATTACTAATCTATTTTGATTATTCGCATTGATTCTATAGAATCAAGTTTTTTTTTAAAGATGCATGTGGGAAGAAAATTAATAATAGTTTTTAAAAGTGAGATATGATTTTGCATGTGAAAGTCAAATACATTTAAAAAAAATAATTGAATACTTTATTTAGAATACAGTAAATTAATTAAGTATAATGTTAATATCTTCGTAATAGGATCTAATATTATAAAAGCAATGTTTATAAACAATAGACTTTTTAAATTTTATCATTTTTTAAAAATGCCACCTAAACGAATTACTGCTTATAATCGTGCACAAGAATTTTTAGAAGATTTTTTTTGTGATAATGGTATTTTAATGTGCTGATTTTGTAGTCGATCAGTTAAATAGGAACATAAAACAACTGTTATCTCACATATAAATACAGCAGATCATCAAAAATTTAAACAAAACGCAAGTTCTAAACAAATAAATTTAGTACAACAAACGTTAAATTCAACAATTGATAGAAATGAGTCAAAAAAGACAGTTATTAATGATTTGGTTTTAGCATTTGTTAATGCTAATATACCTTTGGAAAAAGTTGATAAACTTCTTCGATGGATAAAGAAATATATAAGAGAAGGTGATGCTATTCCTAAAGCAGATACTTTATGTCGGTAATATCTCCCAACAGTTTATAAAGTACAATTAGATCAGTTAAAAAAAAAATTTAATAACAAACCTGTCTCAATAATTATTGATAAGACTACTGACAGTAAAACTCGAAGTGTAGTTAATATATTATTTAGCTATTAAGATTTAACATCTTTAATAGCTGTAGATTATTTAGAACATGTCAATAATTCTACAATAGGGCAACTTATAATTCGTAATTTAGTAGAATGGAATATTCCATTTAATATGCTATGTTTAATCACTTCAGATTCAGCTGCGTACATGAAAAAATGGGTTAGAAAAGTTTTAAAACCAGTTATGCCTCAAATTATCCATTTATCTTATTTAGCATATATTATAAATTTGATTGGGTATGTAAAATTTTATAAATATAAGAAATATTTATTTTTTTAATTATAATTATTTTTATTTTTTAGTGAAGCGTAGATCTCAGTTTCACACTTCGAAGATGTATATAAATTGTTAGCAAATATTAAAAAAACTTTTACATATGCAAAGAATCAACGTACTAGATATCATAAATATTTAAAAAATAATAGAGTTTTAAATCCAACTAATATTCTATTATCAAATGCAACTCGCTAGAACTCATAGTTTCATATAGCTTTTTATATTGAGGAATACTTAACATATATATGTGATTTTTATATTGAAGAACAGAAAGAAAATTCATCAACTGCTATAGATATTATTGTAGAAATTCTTTCTGATACTCAAAAATATGGGCGCACACAATTATATTTAACTTTTATTAAATACTATAGTCAACAGTTTGTTTGTAATTTAAACTTTTTTCAACAAGAAAATTTACTAGTATTTCTATTTGTTGAAAGTTGTATTGAGCAATTAGGTAATTTGATTAATGCTAACAAAACTTTAAATAGTCTTGCACAACCAGTTTTAAGCATGTTTCAAAAATTTAATACAAGTCTTGAAGCATTTTATCTGGTATTTCAACTAGCATATAATATGACATCTAAAAAATATGATGATCATATTCTTAATTATCCAACACGTTTACTATTTAAAGAAGCTCGAGTATTTGATTCACGTTTTATAAATCTATCTGCTATTAGTCATAATATTACTTCGTATCAATATATTTTAGAATTTTCTAACCCATCTATGGAGTTTTTACAAGAGTGGGCAATTTATTGTAATATTAATTTAGCAGAAATCGAATTTAATAGGTTAGATGATTTTTGGTCTAAAATTTCATATCAATTACTACTTTTAAATGAAATAGCCATAAAGTATATTTGGCTTTTGATTTTATCATATAGTGTAAAACGTAGTTTTAGTGTATATAATAAAATTTTAGATGACGATAGGCAAAATTTAAGTGAAGAATCACTTTGGGCACTTACTATTATGTATTATAATAGTAATAATAATAGTAAATAAAGAAAACTTTTATGTCGATATAAAACGGATTTTTTAACCAAGTTGAAATGAATTTTTTGCAAATCAAAATAGAATTTTTCTATGTCCCTGGTTTGGATCATGAGTTGATCATGTTTCTCACGTGCTTTTTCTAGGTCATATTTTGCTTTTAACAATAGATATCCAGAAGTCAGAAAAAAAATATTTATACAAAATCTAAGGGAAAAAATTTTTACAGATATATATTTATTGACTTACTCAAATTCAAGAATGTTTTTTAATATTATATATAAAGTACAATAACATAGGTCTTTTATACTATATAGTTATATTGGGAAGCTCATAGCAAAAGCAGAGAATGGGACTAAATAATATATAGCTAATTAAATAGAATAAAAATAATCACTTAGACATTAATAAACAATAGTTTTCTGTTACAATTCTTTTTAATTTTTAACATCGTTTTACAGACTTTGTAAGAAAATAAAAGAGTAAATTACCTATTAAATTCATTAAATAAATTTTTTATCAAAAAGTTCATCAATTACTTATTAAATTCATTAAATAATTTATATATATAAAAGTTCATCAAATAATCATTATTTATCTTTTATTAATTTATACTGAATTTATTAATATCAGTGTAAAGGTCAAATTTGGTTATTTTAGATATATTACCTTCTGATGTAGTATAATATCCTATTATTAGTTTGCAAATTCTTGTTTAGCCTTTTTATAATACAAACATATATAATTAGAAGTCTTACTGCAGTTGGACAAATATCCTTTAAATACTTTATTTACACAATAGCTAACCAAGGACTTGAGTTTCTAACAGAACTCATCTACTAAGCAAATTCAGAAATTAACTCAGATATAACAATTTATTTTGATCTTATCAAATCAACTTTAAAAGATCTATTACCAAAATTTACTACTATTCTATTTACTAAAATGAATTATGGAGAGATTTTTGCATCTCCTATTACTATTTCTTTATACAAAATTTAAAACTATCTCCAAATCTGCTTAAACATGGCATAATTCTACTTCTATCTAACCAACAACTTCTAATCTATTGATTACAAAAAATTAAATGAAGATTTTAAATTTAGACTAAAAGGTTTAAAATTAACTCCAAAATTAAATGCTTTGACTAAGAAAAAGAATACTTTACTATCTCTTCAGACCTAAGATTTAATATTAATATACTATTTAACCTCTCTAAAACTCTTTTTCTTGATAACTTTACATTCTTTCACTTAAAAACTCTGTTGACAACCTTAGCAAATAGTTTAAAAAAATCTTTTCAGTATACTTTGCTATTTTGATAACTCTATCAATAAATAAAAAACCTTCACCTACCTTAAACACCAAATCAGACAACACTTTATTCTCTATTTAGCTAAACTTCTACTAGAAAAATATAAAATAAAAAAACTTAACTCTCGTTATAAATGCCAAATAGAAGAAACTAGATTCTCAAATCATCATATTCTTACATGTACTAATAAAGCCTGCAAATACCTCAAAACAACTATCACAACAGACAAACTAGATATTAAAAGCAAAGGAAAAGAGAAAAAAGAACACACTATACAATATAACTCTGACTGACTATATAAAGCAGTCTGAAATACTTAGAAGTTGCTTATATACTTAATGAAAGTAAATAGTGGAAACTTCTACCTATAGATACCTCTATTTTCTATATTGAGAGAGAATATGAAGCTACTCTAAAAACTAAAATACCTACTCAACTCCTTGATGAGTTAGCTAATCAGACAAGGAATATATGTGTAAAGCTAACAATACTAAAACAAATACTAAATATCACAACTACTATTTTTACTAATATCTAATAGCTTATCATAACTATACTATACAAAATCATAAAATCAACCTTCTCAACAAAGAACAAGCTATCTAATTCTTAACTGAACAATTAATTGATATGCACTTCTTAGCATACATAATTATATACTATGATACTATACTTGACAAAATACTAATATATAAGATAATAATTGAATTCTACAAAACAACAGCTATACCAGAAGCAGAAAAAATCTTAAAAGAAAAATTCAACATCAACTTCAAACCAATAGAAATAGTAGACTCACTATTTTTAAAAACTAAACAAACTCCTCCTTTTCAGTAAGCTTGTCTTCTACAATCCTATTAATACTTTCTAATCTTATAAAAGATATCTGCATAGTAGTTCTACTACCAATACAACTAAAACAACAAGAACTACTACTATACTACAATAAATTTTTATCATACTATAACCTTCTCCTTCTAAACAATAATTAAATTATTAAATCCTTTCTTAACTATTTAAAATCTCACAAGTTCAACTATAGAACTATATTTTTCTTTAACTCTAAACTCAGTAAGACACATATATATACTCCTAATAATCTACTTCTTCTCAATAACTATTTATTTATAGAATCATACCAACTCCTAACATATTATAACCTGCTACTAAAATCACAAACTCCAACAACAAACCTTTTACTAAATCTTAATATTATTACCCATAATATCAGAGGATTTAACAACTTAACAAAAAAACAATTATGAGAAGATTTCTGTTTAAATAACAACTACAATATCATTAGCCTAACAGAAACTAAACTTAAAAATTCTAAAACAAAATTCTTTAATACTAACAATATTACATACCACCTAGCAAACTTTGACATCTCAATAGAAAATACTAAGCTAATGTCATCAAACTTCCTTAAGCTATACATCTACAAAATTCAAAAACATAATAGAGAAGCTATTAGCATCAATTTCTTCATTAAAAATAACTTTAAATTTAGAATTATATCTATTTATCTGTTTTTTGGAAATATTACTTGAAGAAATAAAACACAAACAAAAATCATACACTGAATACAAAAAGCACAAAAACTAAAATTATACCCTATAGTACTAGGTAACTTCAATATTGATATCTTCAAAACAATACTATCATATACAAAATCACACTTAATCAACTTTCTCTAATCAAACAACCTATATGATCTTGCTAACTATACTAACAACTATTTATTTACATAGTACAACAATTAATCTCATAGCAGAATTGATTATATTTAGTGCTATCAACTACTAATTCCATATCTTATTAAGTTTAAATTAGAAGAAGCTTCTACTACAACTGAAAGTGATTACAAAATACTAATCTCTAACTAAATATTTCTCTTTGCTAACTCTAGAAAACAAAGGCACTTATTCAAAACTAGTAAAAGAATATACAACTAAAATTAATAAATATAGAAAAGTATGAAGAATTTACAAACAAAGTCAATACAAACTTAATACAAAACAAAGTACCCTTAGATACTAATATTACTAACTCTTTTGAAACAAACTGGTATAAAATTCAAATAAGCTTAATTAACACAGCTCTTGGATATATACTAAACAAAAAACAAAAAATACAGAACTTTCATAATACCTACTCATCTAAAGCTATTTCTTTACATAACAATTTTAAACTATTAGATTAATTATTCGTCAAATAAAATCTTCTCTTAACAACAACTCAACTATCCTATTATACATATCATAATAAATTAATGAAATCAACTAACAACAAAACCTACAAATTAAACATCCTTATACTGATCCAAATATGATACCAATATGATTAATAATACTCCAAAAAAATAAAAAATACTTCACAAAGTATGTGATCTTAAAAACTATACTCATATCTAACAACAAATTACTATAGCTACTGAAAAAAGATATCAAGCTCTCCAAATCCAACTAACAAAAATAATAAATAGTATATTAGACTAGCATACTGACTATATTAGCTTTAACAATATCAAAACTGAGAATGACCTGATTACAGATCTAAAATTAATTAAAAATCATATCAAAAACTACTTTGATAACTAGACAAACTACTATCCAATAGATTAACAAATCTTTAACAATATATAGAAAAATTGCTATAAAACTAATATATCTATTAGCTCTGAATACTATAGAGAAACTCTCAAAACAATTACATCAGAAGAAATCCTACTTATCTTACAACAACTACTAAATAACAAAGCTTGTAGTCTATTAGGTATAAGCTATAAAATGATAAAACATGCTAGCAACAACTTTCGCCAAGCTATTACAATTTTACTAAACAGATATTTAGAACTACAACAGATTTTAAAGTAATAGAAAGAGAGTATTATCTTTTCTATTTCTAAAAAATCAACCTTTGATAGAAATTTAAACAATACTCATCCTATTAGCCTTATTGAATATATTAAAAAACTATATACAAAAATCCTAACAAACTGCCTTAACTTAATACTAACTTCAAAACAAATTCTCTCTCTATTTAATTATATAGCACTACAAAGCAATAGTATATCAATACCAATTCATATCCTAAATAATATCATTAAAGATTCACAATGCAACTCAAAAAAACTCTAGCTTCTATCACAAAATATGAGTAAAGCATATGATTTTATTAATGCAGATTTACTCAAGAAAGCATTTCAACAAATTCAATTCTCTACTTAACTAACTAATATATTAATGAACTTGCTCTCAGATAGATCTAACCAAAAAATAACCAATTTTAGCTTAACAGAATCCTACTTAATCAGAAATAGTATTAACTAAGAAGAAACTATAATCTACTATTATAAAAAATTTACGACGACTTTCTTATATACTAAATAGCCTAACTATACAAAAGCTATATCATGTAATCCTCTTGGCTAGAAAATCTTAAATTCAAAAAAACTCAACATATACAAATATCTGCTTTAGT